TCTTGTTTTCTTGCCCATGGTTCAGTAATAGCTATGCCGGATACTTGACCAGTCTACGTAGTGTTGGCTGATCTGAAAAATATATATATATAGAGAGAGAGAGAGAGAGAGAGAGAGAGAGAGAGAGAGACGGAGGGAAAAATCCAAGACTTTATTCCCTACTGAAAGTTCTCATTCTAGTCTCCAACCGGTAGAAGAATTAACCCACTTTGGTTTACATTTTACATTTTTGTATGCATTGTAATTAAAATCACAAAGTTGGCCTACATATTAGAATCTTCTCATATATAATTCATAATTCCAGTCTGAGAGGGAGGGATTTTCTCAGCGATGCTAATCTATTACCTTCTTTAATTAAACAAAAAATAAAAAAACAAAAACTTCTCTTACTTCGAAGCATAAATATTATTCGGCTAATAGTAAGTTTTCAATACCTTTTTAACAATATTTTTTATCAACTTTTTATCGATTATTTTTCAACGCACTGACATTGATAAACTCGAATTGATTTTAGAACAAAAATGTGTTAATAAAAGCAATTAATTGACAAGGTGGTATTTGTGGTCAATTGAAAAGTTTCTATTTAAAAGTTTCCCATTCAAATGGAAAATCCAAAAAGTGTAAAATTATGGAACAAATTAGAACCGAAAGCAATCGACAGGCCCTATTTCACTATGACTTCACAGCTTTTTAAAAGTGAAAAACAATAACTGAAGAACGTGGACTAATTTTACTCTGCAGCTAAATGGATAGCTTTGAACTAACTGGTTTTCACTGAAATATTTTATAAACGGGTGTTAACGTTTATTCTATAATATATACGCTATTTGGTGGCTGTCATTGCTTTTGTAAGTTTTAAAAATACGGTTTTCGCAGGTAATTGTTTGTGTTATTTTGTCCCTTTTCGAACCATGATTCGCGTTAAAACAAAAGATTGGTTTTTAAAAGTATTTTGAGAAAAAATACTATTCTAAAAGTTAAGATGGTTAAATCCTAGAATAAAATAAAATGTTGTAAAGCGATTTGAATGCTGATGGTGTAACYCTTTTATAGCCACGCGTGTCATATTTTCCTTTCATAAAATTCACAGCTCGAAACCGTTATATCGAAGAAGCCATTCTAGTGCTTTGAAACATATTCAAAGAACTCATGTAATTATCAGGCGACTTAAATATACCAAGCGATATAAAAGGGGTATTTTGATATTATGCATACTTTTGGAATCCATTACAATGCTTTACATTAAAGAAAACCATTTCAAAGCTCACACACATATAAACCATTTTAGTGCCACACAGGGTTTTCCGTACATACTTTTGGGAACCCGTTATAGTATTCTTTTATATAGAAGCTCGTTTTCTTTCATGAAATTCACAGCAAGCATGTCATCTTTGGAAACTATTGTTATGCTTACCGATAGAGAAGCCATTTCAGTTTTTTCAAGTATATAAATGCCACTCTTTATCAAGTATTTGTCATCTTTCAGAAATTTAATGTCATGTTCAGATGAATTTCAGTTAAGAGGAAAAGTTATTTTGAAATGATAAATATTTTTGGAATCCATTATAATGCTTTAGATTACAGAAAACCATTTTAGAGTTCTTATCCCATATGAAACCCACTATTGCAGTGTCACAGCAAACAAACTTTTGAATATGCATGATGGATGCATTTGGAACCCATTCCAATGCTTTTCTACTGACAAACACTTGGGACAGTCGATGTTAAAGAAAAAACTTCGGCTCCAAAATTAAAACTCGATTCCTAAACCAACAAATTCTTGGGGTTCAACCATATTACTCAAAGTCCCTTGAGATATCAATAACAATATTATAGTCAACCTGCATCATAGACTTGTTTGGAACTTCCCCTTTTTCACGGAAATCTTAAAATACATTTTAGAGCTAGAAATATCTACCCTTTTACGCCAGAGTTCTCCCATGCTCCCTTTGTTTATTTATTTGACGCTTCATGCTAACTTGCTCTCCCACGAATCCAGCTGCGTCTGTTGGTTCCCTTCTTCATCAGCCTTATTTTCTGGTTAGGTAGCTAAGGAAGAAGGAGAAAGGGAAAGGAAAAGGGTGGAATTGAAAAGAAAGGAAGAGAAAGAAGAAACAACTAAGGGAGGAAAGACAGAAACATAAAAACAAAGAAAAAAAGGAAGAAAGAAAGAGACGAAGAAGAAAGAAAGAAAATTAAAGAAAGAAAGAGAGTCAAAAAAACAAAACAAAACAAAACAAAACAAAACAAAACAAAAGAAAGACAGTAAACCTTGAGCAATAGAAAATGTTGCAATCAAGTTCAAAAGAAATGAAAAATTTACTCAAATTTTCGTAATTTTCTTTATCATTTTCATTATTTAGATTCGTTTGAACCCGAGAGACTAAGCCTACCCAAGCACATCCTGGAAGACGCCGATGTAGGGGATCCCTGTAAGTATACTGTTGGAAACATATGTTATACTTTAGTTTCCAGCACTACGCACTGTAGTCTCCCCCACAGCCGCTTTCAGTGTCGTCACGCAACGCTTTTGCGTGACGACACTGAAAGCGGCTGTGGGGGAGACTATACGCACYGATGATATGGTTTTCTTCTTTCCATTTTTTTCTCTTTTTTCTTCTTGTAACGTTTTGTTATTTATTTATATAATTAATATATTTTGAACTTTTGCATGTAAATAGTGCGAGTAATGAATTAAACTACACTAAAAATACTGCACAGTATATGAAGGTGCACACATATGATCGGCAAGGTGCTGAATGGAAAACTGGGCTTAAACTTCTGGCGCAAAATGGGGTTGTATTTTAACTAAATGTGTGTTTTCGATTTATTTCAGCAATCTTCGATGAAAAGAGAGGTACGAAAAATCTAGTGTTATAGTTATCACTATACTAAATATGGTTCATAAATATTTAACCATTATTCGCCGAAGGCGAAGTGAATATCGGGGAATATTTACCCAGACGCGAGTCTTCGAGCGGCGAGGTAAATATTCTCCGATAATCACTGAGGCTGAGGCAAATAATTGTTTTAGTATAAATACACAGATGATTCTTTCAACAAAAAATAAATAAAATAAAATAAAAATTCCGGTAACAGCAACAAAGCGGCTGGCCGCCATTTTGGATTATCCCTGGAGGTGTTCATCGTGTGATAGTGCGAGTTTCTAGACCAATCAGTGCGCGAGATTTTCTTTAATCACCTGTGTATTTATACTAATTATTATTATTATTTGACTATTTAAAAAAATAAGATAACGGTTACGATTCTCATTACTAATAAAATGTACTAATAATATTTATTATTATCTTCCAGGAGCTGACTTCGATAAGGCCTTATCTATCTATGATTATATCACCGACTTGAACAAGAGGGCAGGTATGTGGAGAATTAAAACGTATACCAAGAATTAGTAGGGTGGGGCGGATCATTTAGGGGGAGGGGAGGGTGTCCTTCATCATAGTCATCATAGACTCATCGCGATAAAAGGCATGTCGGTTTATATAACACTACATTTTGTTACGGGGTAGGGTCTTTAGCCCAACCTCCAACCTGGAGGACCAGGGGATCACTCTCTTCCTATAGTCCCTACCCTTATGAATGGCCCTAACAGGAGTACGTACTTATTAATTACTGTTTTTTTTTCTTCGACAGCTTGTACTCACTACTTCCCCAGCCTTTGCCCTACGTTGGCCAGGAAAGGGTACTGCAGCAAGGCGAAAGCGGGCAGAAAAGCAGCATTTGTGACCAGATTCTGTGGCTGGGTTTGTAATGGCTGCTAGGTAAGAGAACAGAATGCACATGGTTTTTCCATTTTGTTTCCCGACACAGGAGGCCCATGAGTAGAAAACACAAAGATTTAGGCCCCTCCACAATAGTGCGTTTTCGTTTTTACTTTTCAATGTGTTTTGGCCTTGCGTCCACAGTAAACTCTCGAAAACGCTGAGCCTTTTTCGCGGTTTAAATCTGAAAACGTTTTCCGCTCGTCATTAATTTCCATCGGCAAGTCTGTTTTTCGCAAACGCAGACGATGATATTACATATATTTTCGACGGTATCTGCGCTTTTGAGAACGGTTTCAAAAAGGCTAGAAAGGATGCGAAAATTTCGATGCATTTTCGGTGAGACCAAAAACGTTGCGTTTCGGAAACGAATATAGTGTGGAAGTAGCAGTTTAAGTACAAGGTACCACGCGGTACTTACGACATAGAAATGGCTTCCCTGCATTTTYCCCCCGTGCATTTCAGTCTGGGACCTCAAGAACTAGCGAGCAGTCCCACTTTCCCCCTCTGAATGTGATTTTTAGTTCTAATTGCACATTTTCTTTCTTTCAGATTGTCCTAGCTCATTTGATGAATATACAACTTAAATGGGTGTTATTTCACATCTGTTATTCCAAGTCTTTTTTAATATCTACATTTTTTAAGTTAAATAAAACTTAAGCAAAACATCGCTATCTAAATTTGGTCAACTTGTTTAAAAAATCCATTTTTCTCTGCAGTTTATCGCTAGTTAATCATACATATTCGAATACTAGTCGGATGTTCGTTCGGGTGATGATCGGGTGATTTTCGTCAATTTCCGTTATGTGTAAGCGGTTGACACAATTTACATATCACGAGCTATTTCATATGATCAAGTGAAACTACGTTTAATCACATGAAAATATTACCAATAATTATTCATGGTCATTCAACTAATAAAGGACTATAATCACTAAACTGTCTCTTGGTGAAACATTTGTTCATAAATGCTGGGAATTGCTTACTACCAATCACGTGACTTTTTGGAGTTGACTGGGGGGCAAACAAGCGGTTGACTGAGGGGCAACTAGCGGATGTTAAGTCAAAACATATCAAAATAAGTCCTCAAACTATTGTATTTGACTATTTCTACGACATGAAACCAGAAAACAAGAGATCAAAACAACCTCCAGGATTTTACGAGCCATCAAAAAAGAGCTATTACCGGAAGTGATGTCTATTGATCGCAACCTATTGATCGGAATGGGCCTTTTGCATGTGACGTCAAAGCAGCTCGATCTGGGGGACAAAACAAAAGAATTCCAATCTCCTGAGAATTGGAACCTATTGCTTTGTCCCCCAGATTGAGCTGCGTTGCAAAGTGCTAGTGGACATAATCATGTTACTGACTGGCAAAAAAATCGGGCTTTCCTTATCTAAAACATGTTTTGCTGGATTGGTACTAATGTCATACCCAAAACCTTTTCCAAATGAAATCTTTTTCTGTAACATGCTTTGAATTTCAAGATATGAAGCATTTTGAATTTTGTTTGCCAGTCAGCAGAGCCTTCCCCAAGGGACCTTTGGCTCAATTGATTCGTTATCCAGCTGATATATCAGCACGTGACTGTTTGTTGCAAAGGGCCTTTGTGGAATGAAAAATAAAAACAAACAAAGAACAAAGTAGCAAAAACATTCAGGATAGGGATTCCAGAATACATAATGACCTCTCCCCACCCCTCCCCCCAGGTACGAAAATTACTACAGTAAAGAACTTGAGAACTAATTGGGAATGAGTCACTCTAAGTGGCGATATATGACATTCATGATCATTAGATTCTACAGGGTTGATAAATACTGATTATTAATTGGTTCAATATGAATTTCCTTGGCAAGCTCCCCACCCCAGTGACATATCTGAGATATTTCAAGGGGTTGACTGTTACCTAAAAAGGCATCACATTGCGTCCTTCTTAGGTCGTACCTCATCCTATATTCTTATTATTTTCAACTCCAAAGGGGTGGGGGGGGGGGTAATTGCTAGCCACCCAATCCGTGCACCCCCCACTATTTGCCCTTGTACTCTCTCACAAGCCTGAGCCTTAACATTCATTGGTACGGCACATTTTATGATTTCATCTCTACATTGAAAATATTTGCTTTTTTAATAAATGATTATTTTCTTATTCAAACTATATCCTCGTATTATCATTTAAAATTTACATCTAAAAATTTTACAATTTATCGGTTATTTTTCTACAGGGATCCCAAGTTTGGTTTTTAGGAATACTTACAAAATCAAAGAAAAAGGATATTAAAATATAAACATCCTGTAAATTTGAACCAGTTTTTCAAAATATAAATGCTGCATGAAAATGACTGAAGTTTTATCAATAATTCTCTTTACTTTGGGCATATGGTTTTCCCATATCAGGCCACGTGTCATTCCCTAGAGTATCATTTCTTTGTTTAATGGTTTGACATGAGAGGCACATGAATATGGATACAACTGAAACGAAGAATCTTATTCTCAAGAAAATGACACGTGGCCTGAGATGGGAAAACATTAGTCCAAATTCAAAACTCGCACAGATGTGAGGCTTAAGTTGTGAACAAAGGGATCTGGCGTGACTCAAATGAATCTGGCGTGATTCAAAAGTCACGAATCACGCCAGATTCCTTTATTCACAACTTAAGCCTCACATCGGTGCGAGTTTTRAATTTGGTCTATACGCCCAAAGTAAAGAGGTCTATGTTTCTTGAAACTGGTATTTAATATAAACATTCACTAAAACCTAGCTTGGGACTTTTGTGTTTTCTTTAGAGTCGATCGATAACCAAGCCCCGATCACGTGACATGTCATGATMGTTTAAAGGGTTGTCTGAGAAAGACTGGTTCCTTGTTTTGAGTGTAAAACAGAGGGTATTCGGTGTAGAAGCAGATGATCTCTGGCAACGAGTCAAAAGCGTGTTTCCCAATCACAAATTTCTTACTTGGAGTTGTCTCGATTGGGAAATGGCGAATTCTAAAACAAAACAATTTAGGAAAGCTAAGAGGTTTTGGAACGTTAAAAAACATTTTCTTTGTCTATCAGTTCTACGTTTAAAAGATGCACTATCCCCCCTCTACTTAAGGCAAGGAAGTCTTGACAGTGGTATCTTAGGTGCGCAAAAAAACAAGCAAACAAACAAACAATCAAACAAACGAACTGACAAACGAACAAAAGAACGAACGAACGAACGCACGAACAAACGAACGAACTGACAAACAAACAAACTGACAAACGAACAAAAGAACGAACGAACGAACGC